ATTTACTCCGAAAAAGGCTTTTAAAATACTTTCGGCTAGGGCGGTTTCGAACCAGCGACCTTTCGTTCAGTAGCCCGACGCGGTACCTCTGCGCCACAAAGAGAAGTAAATATTCCGAACTTAGACTTTGTATGCAAACGTGGGTAGTGCTACTGTTCGCCGCTCTGTTACGCTCTGTCAAGTGTAGTTTATAGTTGGTGATGCTTCCACAAGGTGGCGCTTGAGGTCGCCGTCGCCGCACCAATCAGCGTACTCCCCGCCTACGTCGTTGACTCGTGGGAAAGTGTGGGGACACGCTGGTGGATGGCGCCATGTGCCGTGTGGTTGGTGATATTCCCACAAGATGTCGCGAGTCCTGCGGCTTATCTTATCACTGACCTTCAGTCTGCTGACATGCTCGTAAGGTGTCGTATGACCCAGGCGACGAACTCTCTATGCCATTCGTGTCGTGAAGTTCGAACTGTCGAGATGTTTGCGAGCGGTCGTCTGACTAGTTGCACGGAAGAACACACTCGCTGGAGCGAGATAGAAGTCTGCACTGGAGACCGTAAGACAAACAACGACTTCTTTGTGACTGCACTGGAACTGCTCATCGATCTGATTGTGTTCGGAAAGTTCCATCCCTACGAAGTGGACCCAGTTGTGTTCCGTGTAGTGTCCCGCGTCTACGAGCACTACGAGGGAAAGGACAAGGAGTGGCCATCGCACGAGGGTCCTTTCACATTCTTGTTGGGATGGGTGAGCAAGGTGATGTCCAGAGTGACCGAAGTGGAAACGACGGACGTGGTGGAGTTCCTCTCGGACACGGTGCATACCATCAAGCGGTCAGTACGGTGCAATTATCACATCGAAGCAACCTACGTGTATCGGCTGGCCGCGGATGTTCTTCGGTACAGGCTGGTCTCTGCGGATAGTGTGGACTCGTGGAAATAAATTGTCATCTTAATTTATTTGTCTTTCATTTTGACGGATAGAAAAGATGGGGCCTCGCTATCGGCCCGGTCAGTCTTGTGTTGACCGAGTGCACGATCGGTCTGTAGAATGAGCAATCAATTTTATGTGAACCTTTTCTCCAATGCCTCCAGTGAAATATTTCATGATAATACTTTAAGTAAGTTTAAGGTACAGCTGTCCCAACCTATCCTTTTAAATGAACCGTATGAGGTCGCCCTAGAGGAATTAAATTTTCCATTTAGCATCAAGAATGTGACGAGGCCATCTAACGAGATCTATTTGGTCAGACCAACGGACGCTGGGCATGTGGACTCCAGCAAAAAGATTCGAATCCCTGCTAAACAAGACGTAATCTCGTTGTTGGGAAGAGGTTGAGAGAATTGTTCCGACCCAAAGCGAGCCTCGTTCGAAAAGAAAGCTTGTATTCCATAACCTTCCAGAGAAACAACGCTTTGCACATGTCGTCTCTCTTAGCCGAAAAACTTGGCTTTTCAGAACAAATATTTGGTATAGGTCAGTCTATGGAAGGCCGTCCCGTAGAGGAATTGACGTTCGATAAAGAGGTTGAGATAGAGCTGACAAGAGTTAATCACGTCATGACACAGGACCGTATTGAGATTCTCGAGGGCTTCTACGAATCGGCAGAACACCTCATTGATGCGATAAACAGTGCGAACCAATCTACACTCAAACTCCCTCCCTCAAAAATGTTGCGTCGTCATAACCCCTACATAAAACTCGTAGCATTGCAGTTGCATCACAATGGATATATATTGATGAATCAGCACTTGTCACACATGCTCGGATTTGGTGAAAAGACCGTGTATACCTCCTTTACCGTGGCAGACCGTGAAGTCATATTATATCCAAATAATTACATTTTTACGTATTACGATATCATAGAAGCGGAACACGTTGGTGATGTGAAAGCACCTCTTTCGAGGGTCGTACCTTTCGTGGTGACTAAGCGAAATGAGATGATGTCGTATTCATTCAATTTGTTACAATATAAGAGGGTGATCGTAAAGGAAGTCAACACCATTTGTCTGGAGCTCGTTGGTGAGAAAGGAACTTACATTCCATTTCTAGACGGATCCGGTCGTGTCGCAGCAACCTTGCATTTTAGAAAATGCACGTAAAGTCTGCACCGTGCTGTGTGGACCATTTTTCCGGTTCCGGAGAGAAACATTTGCCGCATTTTGTGTCCGGGCCTTTGTTCCAAGTGGGGAGTGGTCTACTGTCCGACATCTATCAAAGAATATCGCCGGTGTTTACAAAGAGAGCAGCCCCGTACCTCGGTCGAAAACTCGTGGCTACTGGTAGGGACGTAGCAGAGCGCATCAGACAAGGTTCCTCACTTCGGGATGCCCTCACAAAATGAATTGGCAAGACGTATCGAAACACGAGGGACGAGCTTCTGCAAAAGCTCTCCGGTGCAGGTCATAAAAGAAAGAAGACCGAGAAACCTTCCTCAGTCTGCCCACGAGAAAAGAGACGGAAGGGTCTAGACTTTTTTGACACCTAGAGAATGTCGAGCGGTATTTTTACCCTTCACGAACGATCCTGTTTGTGCACAACCCTTGAACTAGAACTTTTCTCGCTGCCGCCTACTTCGTTTGCCCTGGAAAAATCGGAATATCTTGAGTTCTTTCCCGTCGCTAGTGCAACCTCCACGTCCATTTTGGAATTTCACGTCCCTTCTTTGGGTCCACACATTTACGATTTGAAATCGAGCTTCCTTCACATTCAATCTAAAATCGTTCGAGCTAATGGCGATCCTGCGAGCACTGTTGCAGTCGACGGGTCGGTTACGGACGTTAAAGTGATTCCGGTTCAGTCCTTTGGAAGCTCCCTCTTTCAATACCTACACATTTATCTGAATCAAACACTTGTCAGCCAGTACGAAAACTATGCCTATCGTTCATATCTTGATATTCTGCTTAATGCAAACCAGGTAAGTAGAGATCATTCTCTTTCTGCGATGCTCTACGAAAAGGACCCAGTCAATACACCGGAAAAGCTGGAAATTCCGCCGGATGCCAAGGGACTTGCCGCTCGCTTCAAGCGCACCGAGGGATCTACCCTTTGCGACATGTTCTGTCCGATATTCAGCGACATTTGCCAGCAAGAAAAGCTCCTACTTAACGGGGTGGACATCCGCATCGTGCTGCGACAAAATACCGAAGATTTCAGACTCTTGGCTGCTTCGACGATTCAACAAAAGCGCATTGTTCAGCTTCCTCGCATCGTTCTGTACATTCGACGAGTCCAAGTGGCCCCGACAGTTCTTGTCGGAATCGAAAGGCGATTGCAATCTACTGCCACATCATACCTGTTACGTGGAGTGGAGATCAAAACCAGAACCGTTTCTCCCGGTGTGTCACATATCGTTCTCGACGACCTCTATCCTCATCGGGTTCCATCTAAGCTCGTCATCGCGTTCGTAAAGAGTGAATCGTTTCAGGGAAGTCGCGAACACGACCCCTTCAAATTTGAACACTTCAATCTGAAAACGGCCGTACTAGACGTTGGAGGGTCTCAGCAGACGGAAAATTTCGATTTTAATCAGGATCTTTATATGAAGGCCTATACGAACTTCCTGCATCGACTCAGTCGAAAAGACGTTCCGTTCTCTAAAGGTGCCTTCTCAAAAGGCTCTTTTCTTCTCTGCTACACTTTGACTCCCGACAGGGAAGAGCAGAGTTTATGTCCAATCCTCACAGCCAATGTGAGACTCACCCTGACTTTCAAACAAGACCTAAATAAGGCAGTCACGATCCTGTTCATGTCAGAAACACCACGCGTTTTGGAAATTGACAAGGAGAGACGGGTCAGGATCGCTAATTAAAGAAATGGAAGAACACGAATTTTATTCGATGTTTCCAGGCAACCAGTGTACGCGACCCTGGTTTCGCGGTACTTTTTCTTGCGACGAGATTGGCCAGGAGAGACCAAGCCAGGGTCTTTACATACTTAACACGGCACCGAGATCTTCTTCCGGCGTATACTGGGTTCTTTTTTTCATATCTCCAAAGGACAATTCGATTAGTTATTTTGACAGTTTTGGTATGATTCCAACACACGAAGAATTTTACGACTTTATCGGAAACGTTTCCAGCTTCTTCTTCAACAAAAAGAGAATTCAAGGATTCAAGTCAAGTACGTGTGGACTTTACTGTCTATACGTCGGCGTCTCCTGTGTTGTGGTGTACCACTCCGCGAATGCACCAAGGCGTTCTCGCCAACCGATCATCGATGGAACGATCGTTTGATATCTGTACTTGTGCGGAAACAATTTCCATCTGCCAAGTTAGAGCTATCCTGCTGCAGCGTTTTGTAATCTCTTTTCAGTCAAATAAAACAAACACAAAAAGTAAAGCATGAATCGTTTTATTGCATGCATTCATGTGCATTGAAAACGCTCTACATAAAAAAACAGACATGAATACACACTTACAATATAACATATTATAAGAATACATTAACAAAACAGGTTCAAAATAATAAAAATTACAGTGTCGGAATAACATTTTTATTGAGTACATAGGGTGGGGGGGGGCGACATTTCCAGGATTTGAAACATATCATTACTCCCTTCATCCCAAAAGAAAAAAAAAATACTCTGCCGCGATTACACTTTTATCGAACACACCCGGTTGTCTTGGAGGAGGACATTTCGCCGAGTCTGAGATGTCCGTAAGGAAGCGTCGAAAGTCCGTTGTCTTCGATAAAACGCTTGTTGTCGAAGGGGTTCAATCCAATTTTTTCTACGACGACACTTTTGTTTTCATTTTGCTTACGAGCAATGATTCTTTGGGTGACAGTGTGCAGAGTTTGTGTCTCGAGAGTCTGAAGGTAGAGATCGTAAGTTAGCTTACGCGACTCGCATCTTTTTACTCCTTTAGCCCTCACACAATGTTCTTGAGACTCTAGATCGAGTGCATAGAGTTTCGGTTTAAGACAGACAAATCCTAGAATGTGGTCCTTCGGCAGCTCGTTTTTGAAACCTCCAAGTCGCATTTTGTTTTGAAGCGAATACAAGGCGTGGTCGGACGGGTAACCGGAAGTATCTAGGTGGCTCTCGGTAAGCTGTGCGAGCCTCTCGTCGACGTCCCGACCGCTGATTTGGAGGATAAATGAGTCCGTGTCGCTATATGCAGCGCGAGCATCCGGGAAAACTCTCCTGATCTGATTATAGAAGAAATCGTACATGACGATCTTCGACATCTCTAGGATAGAGAAACCTGCCTATATGGGCTTGTTCAGGTGCAAAGTTTTCTGTGAAAATTGAAATATGACCACGTTCGGACCGATCGCTGTAAATTGTCTAAGGTTAGGTTTTTGCAGATTTTTTACGACTTCGTCCTCGGAAACGCTAATGACAATGTCGTTGTATTGGCGAGGATTTTCAATCGTCTTTTCGTAGATCGAGTTCATAAAGAGCTTTGACAGATTCTTCTGAAAGGTGTTGGTAGCCTGCTTGCGCAGATCGTGATTGAAGTCGATAAATTCTTTTAGAAAGGCCCGCTGGGAAAACTGCAGGACGCGATGAATCTTCTTCAGTTTTAACCCTAGCTGCAGGTACAACTTTAGGTTTCGGAAATGAATAACGTAATTACGTTTGGGAAATAGGGTTAAAAGAAGCTTACGTTCAGATTCTCTCTCGGGTAGGCCAAATTTTTTCACTAGCGCCTTTTGATAAGACGAAAGCCATTCGAAAGGAACCCCTCGTTTTTCCGGAGCCAAAGGAAAGTCTGCATGCGAGTCGTGTAGTTCCTCTGGATAGTCTAGGTCTACCTCCAAGATGTAATCAGTGGGTGAGTCGTCTGAAACCTGAGCGAACTGAAGGGCATTGATTTCTTCGCGATCGAGCCATCGGAAATTGCCGTACGGAAGCGGTTGTCTCATCGTTGATGCGTAAAGACCGTTCACATCGAGGTCGAACATTTGAGAAGCATCTTTGTTAGGATCGAACGAGTCGCTGGTTGGAACGTTAGCTCTCGCATGTCGAATTGCACATTGCACGATTCCTCCTCGTAAACCCGATTCGATAAAAAGATATGCGTCGACGTCGCTGAGCAACTCAAGTTTGACCTTTGTTTGCTTAAGCTCACAGGCCAAGCTGAGGGCAGGAAGCGACACGAAATGCAAGGGATCGATCTCGTAGGTTTCCAGGGTCCATTTCCTAAAATTTTGCATTACGTCGGATAGAAGTAAGCAGTCGAGTTTCAAATAGCAGTCACTGTACTCTCCCACGTTTTTGAACTTGAACGTGTCAAAAGCGACCTGGGCATGGTGATAATCCTTCTCAGAAATGTGAGCGTCATTAAGCTTGTTGCAAAACGACTCACGTGGTGGCAGCTCGGGCTCATCGTAGACGCTGAAGTCGGTTATATAATCGTAGGGAAACACACCCTTACGTGCCAGCAACTCAATATGTTGAGGAAACGCTTCACGAAGGCAGCGAAAATTTTCCAAGCCTTTGGAATGGAGGTCCTGCACAAGTGCGTCCAAGCTCGCGGGGAGGAAAGCTAGACTGTCGAGAAACCGTAGGTTACCCACGTCGAGTCGCTTAAACTGTTGACAACTACTGGGGAGAACCTTGATACATATCTTTCGACTCGAATAGATGTAGTTTCGGTAAAATAAAGGCAAGGTCGTACGAGTGGTTGTGTGCAACCAGGGGAATGACTTTTTTGTTATTCCTGTCGTTTAAATTACAGCCTTTGCACAACCTGTAAGGTCCGGTAAAATGATCGTTGCCCTTTCTTTTACGTTCGTCGAACGACTCGCCACATACATCACAGTCACTGGCGGAGCTCTGTGTCTTTTTGACCGTCGTGAGATCGCTCCTAATCCACTCGGGAATGAGTTTGGACATTTGATTGAGGATGGAAATGAACTGCTCGACACAATCCTCGCCTCGATACAAGAAACGTTCCATGATTCGTGAGTCTGTAGAACGGATCACTAGAATACAAAACGAGCTGGGTACGTGACTCTCGTAAACGTGACCCGTGTTTTCCGGTTTCAAGATGGCCTCAAAGTCGTAGACGCAGAAGTATGGAAAAGGCTCCATGAGGTGAGTGTTACGGAAATAAAGCGCGTCCCCTTTTTTAGGAAAGACCGTTCGGACTGGCTTTTTTTCTTTACACAAGGCAAAATGACTGGTTAGAGAAGTCCGAAAACGAAAACCCATCATGCATCTTTTACAACGGAATCGGTAGCTAGCCCTGTTTTCGAAAAGCCCGGCGAAGTTGGTGATGAGGACAAAGTCGTCGTCAATCAAGAGCAAATCTACATGCTTTTCCAACTCGTGATCGTTGATTTTGAGAGGATAGACAAACTTTTTTTCCCGTTCGTAACCGTACACGTTGATGGACACGCGATTTTTTCTTTCGAAAGTCTCTACGTCTTCTGGAAACGTCACTGGATAGTTTAAAGGAAACGAATATTTGCTCAGATGGTCCCTGTATGAGGAAGCTCTCGTTTTATGTTGAGTGGGATGCAATCCCGTAAGCACGGAAAAGGTGAAGCACATTTTTCTTTCGGAGTCCTTCATGCGTTCGTTCACATTCAAAATACACTGTTTGTTTGCCAGTTCCTTCGGCAAAGTGAAACTTTGACATCCGGCCCTCTGGGGAACGAAACGTCCAACTGTGATGCTACATTGTTGGATGGCGACGAGCGCGAAACCCGACCCACGTTCCTGATACTGCTCTAGACGGGCGTTTATCTCGCCGCAGGCAAGCTGCAGGGCGCTAGCGATGTTACCCTCGGCCCAGATCGTGTGAACGAAAGAGTGAAAGTAATGCACGCTAAAGTCAAATTCGCCTTCGGAGTTAAGTCGTGTCAGTTCTGCGGTTAACGTGATAAAAAAACGCAGCGGCATTCCGTAATGTCTAAATACGTTGGACATTGCATCTGAGTGATGACGGAACAGTGTAGAGACGTCGTGAGCCTCGTCGTCGCGCTCGTACAAATACATACCATAGCGCATCGTAAAGTTTCGAAAAGCGCAGAGGCCTTCACGAAATGGAATGCAATCTTGATAGGGAACATTATGTACAAGAGCCAGATGAACTTGTAATGCCTCTGCGCTGGAATATTGTTGCCTCTCCCGTACGTTACACAAGTGACAGGTTACCATTTCTGAGAAAATAAAAAAAAAAAGACACCTAAATGTCCAACTTCGAGAAGACAATGATGGGTGACCGTCCGTCGCCCTTGCTTCTCTCTAGTACTAATCCCGTCATGTGACGCATACTTTCAAGCTCCTCGTCACTGAGCTCTGAAAATCGTTTAGGCAAAAATACCTTGACAATGTCGTCTGACAGCTGGAGGGATACGAAGACGGACGGTCCGTAACGTGTGTCCAAACGTCCAATGTCTAACACAGGCAGCTTGACATCAGACGGAATCAGATCCATCTTAACAAAGTTTGACGGCGATTTCAAGGAGTTAAGCTTGTCCAGGAGGTTCTCCATCATTGGGTCGGTGGTGGCGGCAGTGGGCTCCTGTAATAAAAATGTATGTTAAACACAAAATAAACGCGTTTAAAATATTTTTCCCCTCACCTCACGTGTAGTGGCACGCTCTGAAGAAACGGTGGACGTCCGTCAGTTTTATAGCAGCCTGTTTACAAAACGATTGGCACCGCGAGACATGTCTGGACGTGACAGCCTCCACAATCGCGAATTGGACACCGTGCATCGTATTAGGTTTCTGTTGTTTCAGCTTTTCGCTTTAAAGCAATCTGTTTACGAACAGACGAACAGCTGTGCGTGTTAAGTGAGAATTCGACACCAGGGTCGGTTGCTTCTGAGTTTATGGTTATGATAAGCCAGCGCGAGGGAAGCTGGGGGGTCGTCTCATCGTGTATTTTCGTAAGGAAGGTGGTAAAGGTATTCGGCGTATATAGAAAGATGTAGATACACTGCCTTTCACATTTGCAAACCGGCCGTCATGACGCTCGTTCTCAATAAATTACAATTTGAGACGCCCGCGTCTGTAACAATGATTGGTTCTTCGATATCAGGCAAAAGCATGTATATTCGTTAATTGTTGCATTATAGAAAGGAAATGTTTGATAAGAAGTTGGACGTCATTTTCTACGTGTACGTTTACGAGCAACCGTTTTTTAAAGATCACCCGGACGTTGTGTTCACTAAGGACATTCCGCAAAATTTGGATCCCGAGACAAACTCGCTAATTATTTTCGACGACTTTCTCTCAAATAGGACAAAACTGAAGGAGATATGCGAGTATTTCATAGGCGCTGCTCACCACTATAACGCCTCCGTCATTTTCATTACTCAGAACATGTTTCACCAAGATTCATACTTTCGAACAATCAGCTTAAATTCTACGGCTCTAATGATATTCCGATTGGTGAGGATTGTCGATCAACTCCAGGTACTATCTCGACAGCTCTTTGGAGGGAAGAGAGGGCATGTCCTTCCGCGTATATATTCGGACGCGTGTAAAACACCATTCAGTTACATCCTAATCGACCTGTCGCAAACTTGCCCCGATAATTTCCGCGTGAGAACAAGGATCTTGCCGGACGAGGGACCAGAAGTCGTCTACGACACTTCCTCATGAATCGTTTGAAGGGACAGGTTTTTGCACCTCTTGTCCAAAACTAAATCGTCTAGACAAAGAGAAGTCCTTCTTCGTGACGTCAAAAAGGGACATCTAAACATCATTCGCGAAATTTGCTTAAACCTTTGCAGAGGAAACGTTCCACTCACACCAATTATAAAAAGGAAGGTAAAGAGGTTTGTACCCCTCATAAGATCATTGGGAAACCGAAAGAAAGGTCACAAGAATATAAAAAGGGTATTGATACAGAAAGGAGGCTTTTTACCTTTGATCCTTCCGGCTCTCTTGGGTCTGTTATCCACGCTCGGAGGAAGAGCTATCGCCAAGGCCATCGGGGTGTGAAAATGAAGAAAAACCATCTCATACCTTACAAAAGAAGAGCATATTCCTGATATTTTAAGACAAGAGGGGGAAGCGGATGACGTCAAACTGAAAAAAATCATTCAGACGCTTCATAAAAGTTTACGTCCGCACAATCCTGATATTAACAACGTCATGCCTCAGGAAACGACTCCCTTTACGAGAGAACAAATGACGCAGACGAATGATGCCACGGAAGATCGCGATATCAATGCAGTCGTCAATATTTTGAGCAAAACCTATAGGGCAAAAGGTCGATCACTTCTAAATTTGTTAAAACCAGTGATTGCATGGGACCCACACACGTTAGAGATTATAATTGACGAGAAGCCTCTCCATGAGTCAAATATCATTGATGTGGTTTCTTATCTAATTTCGCGAGCGAAACAGATGCCAGTTCCCATTCATTTCGAACGTGTCGCGACGCTATTGGTCAAACAAAATCTGCCGACGAGCATCGTAAACTACGATCGCTTTAAAGGAAGGGTGGTCAAAGCAGGATCGACCAGTCGAGCAGGATCCTCCTCTCCGAATATTTCACCGAAGCGTTCCTCGGAGCAGCAAGAATCATCATCATCGCCGCACTCACCTTCGACCTTCGCTGTTGCTGCTGCAGAGGCCTGTGCTGATCCTGCTCCACGGACATCTAAACAAGTGCTAGATAAGACATGGAAGATATTTTAGACGAAGATTACTTCAACGACGAGCTAATTTTTTCCTCATTTCCTCCACGTCAAAGAAAGAAGGTTCAGGGGCTCTTGGAGAGCATTTCGTCGGTGATTGCCTACACCCCCGATGGAAAGTTGGTTGTTCACGGAAAGAGGATCGAGGAATCCAACATAATCGATCTACTACGCTACGAGCTCTACAATAGACAACCTTCCTGGGTGAGAGGTGCAGTTTCCGCCGTAATTAATAACTTCCTGGACCTGTCAGCCTTTCGCGCTCAGTCTTACCGACGGAAGTCGAGATGCCGTCGTCAGAGAAGGAAAGCAAAGCGGTCTACTACAGAGCAGCCCATCCCGCATCCTTCGGTGGAGTCAATAGACTTGCCAGGCATACGGGCCGAAGAACGGCGGAAAAGTTTTTAGAGGGATCTGACGCTTACACCTTGTTTAGGGAAACCAAACGCCCTCGTCTATACCGCAAGACGCTGTCGCTGGGACTTCGAGACGTCTATCAGGCGGAGCTTGTGGAAATCCAAAAAATTGCCAAATATAATGATGGAAAGAGATACTTTTTGTTTGTGATCGATACGTTTTCTCGATTTCTCTCCACCGTTCCGATCACTCGAAAGACGGGAGAAGAGGTCGTGAGAGCGCTTAAAATCGTCTTTCGTAGGATGAAGAAAAGTAGGCTTCTATGCACGGACCACGGCCGTGAGTTTTACGGGAAATTAGTCGTGTCATATCTGAATAAGCAGGGAGTTAAATTGTATTCTGTGTTTTCAAAGCAAAAGGCTTCCATAGTAGAACGCGTGCAAAAAACCATTATGAGTCGGATCTATAAATACTTTGAGTATGCAAGAACGAGGCGGTTAATAGAGATCCTTCCCAAAATCGTAAAATCCTACAACCACAGCTACCACCGAACGCTGGGTGCTCGACCCATCGACGTCACCGAGGAGAATCAGAAAGATTTCTTTCTTCATCTTTTCCCTCCTCCGTCGGGAGCACCCAAGAAACCGAAATTTCGGATCGGGGATTATGTGCGCATATCCAAAGAACGACACCTTCTTTTAAAACAAGTACAAACAGTCCTTCACAGATGAGGTATTTATTGTCGACAGAATCCGACTAGGTATTCCCACAATATATTACCTCGTCGACCTGGTGAGAAAAGAGCTCGTTCTCGGTTCCTTCTACGAAGCTGAGTTGCAACGTGTTTCCAACCCCGAAAACAAGGCCTGGATCATCGAGAAGATTTTGAGAAAACGACGTGCGCCTGATCTCCAATACCTCGTGAAATGGAGAGGCTATGATTCCTCTCACAACAGTTGGGTTAGGGCAGGTGATTTTGAAAAATAAACAAAAAAAAAATGTATACGATGTTGTTCTTCACACTGCAATGATTCTTTCAATAGACTCTGCAGATTTGTTTGAGACACACACACGTAGAGTGTTTTATTACTCTTTATTCAAAAACTCCAAGAGACGCAATGTTGCCTCGTGATCTAAATTTATCCCATACATCGAGCGTTTACCACCGATCACTCGTCTAATTTGATACACATTGAATGGACGTCGACGAAGATACATCGACTCACTCATATTGCAAGTGTCTTCGCACTGTAGGTCATGTTTCCGCAAGACACGAACGTCGGCCTCGTGAAGACATTGTTTTAGGTTGCGAGTCTGCTTCTTGTCCAAGTTTACGCCAATTTTCTCGGGATAGTACACTTTCATCCAGGCACGTATTGCCAAAACAGAGTCTGAACATCGATGAACTTTGATGTCTTCCGTCAAACTTGTCTCGAGTGTGCAATGTCCGTAAGGGTTTGGTTGAGACGTGGCAAGTCCAAAGACAATAATGTAGATGATTGGAAGGGAAAGCACGATGGCAGCTATTTGATGCATGACGATCGGTCGTCTAACTTCCATAACTAATGCGCGGAGTCTTTATGGAGAAGATATATATATATAAATAAAGAGAAAATGCCCTAGGCTGATTGGTGTGACGACACCGCACAAATGACGCGATTAGCCACTGGACTCGCGACATCTTGTGGGAATATCACCAACCACACGGCACATGGCGCCATCCAGCGGCGTGTCCCCACACTTTCCCACGAGTCAACGACGTAGCGGGGAGTACGCTGATTGGTGCGGCGACGGCGACCTCAAGCGCCACCTTGTGGAAGCATCACCAACTATAAACTACACTTGACAGAGCGTAACAGAGCGGCGAGCCCTAGCACTACCCACGTTTGCAGACAACGTCTAAGTTCGGAACATTCACTTCCCTTTGTGGCGCAGAGGTACCGCGTCGGGCTACTGAACGGAAGGTCGCTGGTTCGAAACCGCCCGAGCCGAAAGTATTTTAAAAGCCTTTTTCGGAGTAAATAAAATTCGCAGTTGTTACGTGGTTGTCACGTGACAACTGCTTGGCAGTGTTCGTCTATCGGCTTTATCGGGATTATCGATTATCGAAAATCAAAAATTTTTTCAGATATCAGGAACGTCCGTTTCTGATATATGAATAAGTTAGGATAGGATTGGCTAATAGCCTGTCGCGACTCTTAGTCAGACCCAACTGCGCGCAGTTAGCCATTTAGATATCCGAATAGATAGGATCGATGTCAGAAACCGGACACCCCGATATCGGAAACATATGCACGCAGTTAGTCATTTAAATATCCGAATAGATAGGATGTCAGTGATAGACACCCACATTCCTTAGATAGTATCCGATGTCAGAAAACGGACATGTCGATATCGGAAACACATGTTTACGCATTGATCGATTATTGGGCTGATCGTGTACACTTTTACTACTACTCACTCCGTTAGCGTTGATTGTGCAGCGGTATACGTACATTACGCGGAACTGTTAGCGCAAACACGACATCGGCGCTTTTTCCTATTTTCCCCAGCAATGTATTGGCTCGCACTAAAATCTACCGCTTAGCTGGGATACTCGCATTAACAGTTTCCTAAACATCATTCACTTCTAACAAGAAAAAAAGATGTGGAAAACACCTCCGATTGTTTGTTCGTGGTAACTGCGTGGCGTAGGGCAGCGGCGTAGATTTTCCATTTCCCCAAGGGGGGGAGGGGGGGGGGGTGTAAGCACGCTGGGATTCCATTTCCCATGTATTTTGTCAATAAAGGCAACGTGGGCGTTATTTTGTTTACATGCCACTACTAGAAGCTCGTTACATGGCGCGTAAACAGGATGTCGGTCGGGATCATGGCCCAGGGGAGAGCTCTGCCCCCTCCCCCCCCCCCCGTAGTCTACACCTATGGCGTAGGGTACCTAAAGTTTTTCACAATGTTAAATACTATTCTGTGTTACGTCAAAAAAAATGTCTGCTTTTGCTTTAGATTCTTTGAGACACCACAAATACTTCGTAGTGGCGGCCTGTGCTATGGTACCAATACAAGCAACGTTCAACCATAACACGACACACTAGAGTCGCCAAAAAGGGGTTTAATATTGTCTTTACCGTTCCACAGCCGTACTCGATAAAGAATGTAAAGAGCGAGTCTAGCTTACATTTCGTTGCGGTGTAGGACCGTACGGTTATCGAAGTGGCTAAAAGCGACCCACTAAAACTTTGTAATATTGAATCCACCCTTGATGCCCTCTCACCTCAGGTGGTTGTTGAGAATGTGTCAATATGAATTTCATACATTTTGCTGCCCATCATGTTCTGCGAGTTAGGCACACAACAGAGCATTTTAGTATATCATTTTCAAAGGCCCGCTGCCACTTCAGGCGCGCGCATTCAGGGAATGCATCGAAGTCGCAGCGCGAGCTCCCGCTAAATATTGCCGCGCGCGCAGCTGGCCAAGTAGGCAGCGCGCGCGTGGCCTAACGGTTATCGCGCTTGCCTCCCACGCGAAAAGCTAGGGTTCGAATCCTGGGAGTGACTTGTCTTTTGTTTATTCCTGCAATTTAGTGTTCTGGGGAATTCGAGAATCATGTTGCTTGTTCCAGGCCCGAATGTTCTACGCGTCGAAGTTTCTACGCCGATTATTCTAGAAGACCACGCATGTAGATAAGGGGCTCCGCGTGGCGAGCCACAGCCAGTCTCGCCTCAGCGTTCGACTCTGCTGCCACGCCGACTTCGACGCGACGCCCGCGACGCTCTATTATTATCTTTTGTACTCTTTTATTTTTGGCACAAGTTCGCCACATTAAACATTTATTTCTTCCTGTTTATTTGTTATTTTTGGTCACCACCCGTGACAATATAGCGTGGCTGAAAACATAGTCTGCTAAAGTTCTTCAATAATGTGTGCTCGCTGCTGGAAAACAGAGACCTTCTACAAGATGCCCGCGCTCGGTACATCGTTTTCTCTTCCATCGATCCCAATTTGAGGTAGGTATGAGCGTGATAAGCCGTTCCTTTTTTTTTTTTTTTTTTCCGGACGGAATGTTTTGTGAAGATGTAAGTCATCCTTACATATTCAAATCACCACATTTCGCGCATGTGTGTTGGGCTCCTTGATCAACCGAGAATATCTATGAAACGTTCCTTCAATGGTGCGGGGATGCATCGCAGCTCCCAAGTATGCGTTTACTTTGCCACGGGCTAAACCAAAGACTTCGACAGCTCGAATTCGGTGACTGCGAGGGCGCAGCCTTGCAGCTCCGTAAAACTTACCCCTGAGGGGCTAGGCTTGGCGAGAGCCGGCTAGGCTTGGCGAGAGCCAAAAAATAGGGCAGATTACGCGATAGGAGCTGAAGATCCCTGTAAGTCACGAGGTCGCTGCTACCGCACCGATCGCCCGTCGCTCAGAAAGGGGATTTTCTCGGCTTATCCTTTCAGAAGAAGCCGGCGCAAAAAGGGACCTTTCCTGTCGCCTCGCCGTGCTACAATACAAGAAAGAAAGAGGGCGAGGAGGACTTTCCGCCAGGCGGAAGAATATGCGCGAAACACATGTGCGACGAAACCGTCCGATCCGACCTGCGGACTGCCGG